CTGAAACAGGCTCCAGGCTCTGAGCTGGCAGTCAGCACAGAGCCCGACGCGGGGCTCGAACCCACGAACCACGAGATCATGACCTAAGCGAAAGTCGGACGCTTAACCGACTAAGCCACCTAGGCGCCCCCCAAAGCTAAACATAGTCTTAAATGTGGGAGCAAGCAGTTGGGTTCCCACCTGTTTACCCAAGTGAGTGGAAAATTCATGTCCATACAAAAACCTGCACATGAACGTTTACAGGAGCTTTATTCATAATTGGAAGCAATCAAATGTCCATCAAAAGATGAATGGATAAACAAACTGTGGCATATCCATGCAATGGCATGGTCTCCAGCAACAGAAAAGAAATGAGCTATCAAGCCACGAGAAAACATGACAGAAACGGAAATGCATATTGCTTCATGGAAGAGTGTCTGAGAAGGCTACCTACTTTCTGATTCCAACTATTATGACATTAGAAAAAACAAAACTATGGAGACGGTAAAGAAGATTAGCGGTTGGGGCACCTGGGTGGCTCAGTCGGTTAAACATCTGATTTTGGCTCAGATCATGATCTTCTGGTCTGTGAGTTTGAATTCTGAGTCAGGTTCTGTGCTGACAGCTCACAGCCGGGAGCCTGCTTTGGATTCTGTCTCTCTCTCTCTCTCTCTCCCTGCTCCTCCCCCACTCACGCTCTATCTCTCTCAAAAATAAACATTAAAAAAACTTAAGAAAAAAACAATGGGGGGAACTGGGGGGGGTGGGGAAGAGGGTTATATGGGAACTCTACTATGTGCTCAGTTTTCAGTAAACCTAAATTTGTTCTAAAAAATAAAGTCTCTTGGGGTGGCGGAGAGGGAAAATGGGTGATGGGCATTGAGGAGGGCACTTGAGATGAGCACTGGGTGTTGTATGTAAGCCAATTCGACAATAAATTATACTTAACAATAAAAAATAACGTCTCTTATGGGTGCGGGGCTGACTCATTCCCTAGAGCATTTGACTTGACCTCAGGGTCAGGAGTCCAAGCCCCCCGTTGGGCACTGGGCTTATATAAATAAATAAACTAAAAAAAAATTTTAACAAGTCTGTTAATTAAAAGAGAGAGTAAACTAACGGATCTGTAAAAGAATTAGATTAAATTATCTCCAAGGTCATTTCCAGTTCTGACTCACACTCCAGCTCCGGGCCTCAGGGTCCGCATGTAGGATAAAACCAAGACGAGTTTTGAGCGCCGCTCGTGCGGAAACGGAGAGCGGCTCTCGAGTCGTCCAAGGGTCCAGAACAACACTGCACAAGCTGCCCCTTTGGACCCCGGGCCTTCCGCGACGACACCACCGCCACCCAGACCTCGCCCCCAACTCTCTGCGCTGGCTCTTCCCAGCCCAAGCGCTCGCAGGGCAGGCAGCTGCCTAGGCCACGCCCCCGCGCGCCATTGACTCTCCGATTGGACGGCTGGGAGGAGGTGTGGCCGGAAGGGGTGAGTCTGATTGGCAGGGCGTGGCCGGCGGCGTGAGGGGAACATGGCGGAGCGTGTCAAGAAGAGGCCTTGCGGTCCGGTAGGTGGCGGGACGTGCGGTCCCGGGCAAGACAGGGGGTGGGGGCGCGAGAACGAGCCGCGTGGGGGCCCGTGGCGGGGCAGTGTCTTGCTTCCCGTTCCCTGTTTGTCGCCCACCCGAGGCCGGAAGCCCCGGGGTGCCTCATGTTCGTAGCCGCGTGCGCCTCTGCCTGGATGAGAACCGGGGGTGGGGCCCGGGCCGGGACAGCGGCAGGTAACCCGTTGCCGAGCCCCCTTGCGGCTACTCTGGGCGGAGCCCCGATTCCGGAGGTTGCACCCTGCCTTCCATCTCCAGTCCTTTCGTGGCGTATCTTCTGACTCCCAGGGTGACAGCAAGCGGGCTCTCTTTCTCTGAGCCGGTTTCCTCTTCTCTCCTTTGAGACCTCATTCAACAACTTATGGATGCTTACTGTGTGCCAGACCTGGTATTAGGCACTAGGGCATAGCAGGGCCCTGCCCCCCGATGTTCTCCCTAGGGTGGCCGTGTGGGGGTGTTCCTCACCAACCCCGTTTTACAGGGAGGGGGCAACTTCGAAACAGAAAGTTGGACTCCCCCCCACCCCCACCCCCTAGCTGTGATCATTCATCCTCACTCCTACACCTCTTCCCATTTCTTCTCCAGGGTGAACACGGCCAAAGGGTCGAGTGGCGAAAATGGAAGCAACAGAGTAAGTAAGGGGCTGGGGGTCAGCGGTGGGGGATCCACTGAACCTTGCCCAGCGCCACTCCAGCAGTGCACTGCTGAACCCTGGGGAGAGCCACCGCGTTTGTCCCCTCTGGGTCCCACAGCACCCAAAATGGGAAGGAAGGGGCCAGAAGCCCGTATGGCTCCTCTGGCTGTTCACTAAACGGCGCTGGAGAGCCCAGGCTGAGTCCTGCTCAGACGCCACCACCTCTTCGACTGCTCCACGGCGCTGTCTGCCCAAGCCCTCTCCCCGCCACCAATCCAGATGTCCTCTTATCCAGAGAAAGAGGAGAAAACGAAGTGGAAGGACCTCAAGCTGATGAAAAAACTGGAGCGACAGCGGGCCCAGGAAGAAGAGGCGAAGCGCCAGCAGGAAGAAGAGGCAGGCGCACAGAGAGGGGACCAGGGTGAGCAGGCCGGGTCCCGGGCAGGGCAGCCAGTGACCCACTGGAAGGGACCTTAGAGTCCAGGGGGTGCAGCCATGTTGTCCTGATGGAGACACTGAGGCCCAGAGAATGGGAGAGGCCGGGAAAACCGAATCCTCACCTCCCACGTAGGTAGGTTTAAATCCTGTGGGCTGTAAGTGTCAAATATCATAACTTCCTGTCTCCAGGACTCATGGTCATCATGATGGTGGTTTTTCACTTTTTCGTTGAGCGCTTTGTGTGTTTTAATTTAGTTTTTCATTTACTTATTTTGATTTTACTTTAAAAAAATTTTTTAATGTTTATTTTTGAGAGAGAGCATGAGCTGGGGAGGAGCAGAGAGAGGCAGACACAGAATCCGAAGCAGGCTCCAGGCTCTGAGCTAGCTGTCAGCGGAGAGCTCAACATGGGGCTCGAACTTACAAACCGCGAGATCATGACCTGAGCCGAAGTCAGACCCTTTAACCGACTGAGCCACCCAGGCGCCCCTTTATATATATATATATTTTAAAGTAAGCTCTATGCCCACCGTGGGGTTTGATCTCATGACCCTGATATCAAGAGTTGCATGCTTGGGGCACCTGCGTGGCTCAGTTGGTTGAGCGTCCGACTTTGGCTCAAGTCATGATCTCATGGTTTGTGGGTTCGAGCCCCGCGTCAGGCTCTGTGCTGACAGAGTTCTGCTAGCTCAGAGCCTGGAGCCTGCTTCGGATTCTGTATTTCCCTCTCTCTCCGACCTTCTCCTGCTCACACTGTGTCTCTCTCTCAGAAATAAATAAAACATTTTAAAAAAAAAAAAAAAAAAGAGTTGCATGCTCTACTGACTGAGCCAGCCAGGTGTCCCTTATTTTGATTTTATAATAAGAATGTGGTTTTTTTTCCCCCGGGGCGGGGGGGGGGGGGCTCGGGGGAGGGCGCGCCTGGGTGGCTCAGTCAGTGGAACATCGGTTGACTCTCAGTTGCGACTTGGGTCATGATCTCACAATTTGTGAGGGCTGCTTGGGATGCTCTCTGTCCCTCTCACTCTGCCCCTCCCCCACTCGCGCTTGTGCTCTTTCCCTCTCTCAACATAAATAAACATCTTAAAACAAGAAACAATTTCTTTAAAAAAGATTATTTTTTTTTATATCATTAATTAATGTCTGTCCAAAACAATCTCCCTTCCTGGGGCACCTCGGGGGCGCGGTCAATTAAGCATCTGACTCTTGGTTTCAGCTCAGGTCACGATCTCACGGTTCATGGGATTGAGCCCCACATCTGTGCTGTGAGCACAGAGGCTGCCTGGGGTTTTCTCTCCTTCTGTCCCTGCCCTCCCTGCTCTTGCGCACGCTCACTCTCTCTCTTTCTCAGTAAATAAATAAACTTGAAAATAAAATCTCCCTCCCCCCCCCAAATACAGAAAACTATAAAGAAAGAAAAAATTCCAGCAAACATTGCAGTGAAAGTTTCTCCAGATGTTATGTTACACCAGCTTACACACGTGCAGGGAACATACAGATACAGTTTTATAAAAGTGGGACCACTTTATCCATGAGCTTCTGGACCTGGTTTTTCTCGTCCCACATTGTAGCCTGGGTGTCCTTGCACATTGGTACACCTGGATCTACCCTGACAAATTGTATCTTTTCCCCTTGTCTACACCCAACCCGCAAGAGGGTTAGGGCGTTATAACATAATCTCTAAGCCATTGGCGACAGAAACTAAGCATGTCAGCTCTTTTACACACCAGAGAAGCCCTTCATGGGTGTTCCCGCATGTGGCTCCCATTGGACGACTCTGGGAGGGAGAGCATGGCAGTCCCTCTAGAGCGAGACAGCCTGAACCCAGATCTCCACCATCTTGCTTTTTGTGTGACCTTGGGCCACAGGTTTGGCCTCTCTGGGCCACAGGTTCTCCACGTCTTGATGGTATCATGGTAATACTTTTTAGGGTTATTGGGTAAATGCACACATATAAAGGCACTAAGAATAGCTGTCTTTACTATCCCCATTTGACAGCTGGAAACGGAGGCAGTAAGGGGCGGAGCCAACATAAGAACTTGGCCAGTGTCCCTAACCACTCCCCAGTCTTACCCAGCCGTATGCCCTCCTCACGGGAGCCTCGGAGACCCTGGGGTCCATCTTCCTCCTGGGGAGATTGAGGCCTGCGAAGGGGAGTTGGATCTATTTTGCTGACCTCAAAATTCCTCCCGGAGGGAAAGTTCTCTCACTCTGAGCCCTGGGATTAGAGGAAGAGAAGGGAGAGCACAGCCCTGGCCTCTCAGACTGACCATGAACAACCCTCCCCTGCCCAGGTCGGCCCTACACCCTGAGCGTGGCCCTGCCAGGCTCCATCCTGGACAACGCCCAGTCGCCAGAGCTTCGCACCTACCTGGCCGGGCAGATTGCCAGGGCCTGCACCATCTTCTGCGTGGATGAGATCGTGGTGTTCGATGAAGAAGGCCAAGATGCCAAGTGAGGAGCCATCCAACGAGGCCCCAGGGTTCAGGGAGCAGGGAGGGGCTGCTTGGATTGGCTTTGCTTCTGTGCTTTTTCGCTGCCTGCTCGCCTGGGCTGGGAAAGGTCTGAAATGCCCCCCAGTGAATCTGGTGGAAGAGTCACAAAGCAGGGGACCGCACAGGTCAGATTGGGTGGAAGAGCTCTTGCAAGGAGCGCAGTGGGCTCTGGAAGCCCTGTCTCTCGCTCTCTCTCCAGGACCGTGGAGGGTGAATTCAGGGGCGTCGGCAAGAAGGGGCAGGCGTGCGTGCAGCTGGCCCGGATCCTGCAGTACCTGGAGTGTCCGCAGTAAGGGGGTGAAGGGCAGACCGGCCTGCATGTGGTGGGGTGGGGAGGGCGGTCAAGGTGCGGGTCAGGCAGGAGGTGGCTTCCCCTGGGAACTTTCTGAGATCTGCGTTCTTTACCAGGTACCTAAGGAAGGCGTTCTTCCCCAAGCACCAGGATCTCCAGTTTGCAGGTAAGGCTGGGGCCGGTGGGGGGGGGGGGGCTAACCCCCGTTTCCCATGGATCATCCCCAGACCCTGAGAAATTGCAGCGCGGTTGGGAGAGCAGGCCCAGGCAGGGCAAGGCCGGTGTCTGGCGGCAGGAGGCAGGTCTGTGACCTGGAACTTGGAACTCATACCGCTGCGTGCTTTTGCCCCCGTCCCCTCACCCCCCAACAGGGCTTCTGAACCCCCTGGACAGCCCTCACCACATGCGTCAGGATGAGGAATCCGAGTTCAGAGAAGGCATCGTGGTGGACCGGCCCACCCGGCCAGGCCACGGGTCCTTTGTCAACTGCGGCATGAAGAAGGTAGGACTTGGGAGCGTGGGTTGAGATGTACGCTGGGGACACGCCCTGGCTTTGGAGGGCAGGGAGGGTCATGTGAGTGGGGAGCCCTGGACCCAGGCATCTGGGTCTGGAATTCCTCCACTGATGGCAGGTTTCGGCCAGAGAAGTGCCCCGAAACAGGGCTCAGTAGATAAAGCCATAAACGGACGGTTTCTTGAAAAGGAAATGAACAGGAGATAGTTCTCATGCTCAAACCCAGCCCAGCCTAGCCCTGCAGCAGCAAGTCCAGAATCCCTCTCGGGCGGCTCCAGTGAGGATGCAGACCCGCACTGGGCCTGGCGCGCTCCTCGGCCGCCTGGCCAAGCTCATGTCTCCTGGAGTCAGAGTCAGAAAGACTTCCATGTGTGGTTCCCTCCCGCAAAAAAAGAGCAGATCAGATATGATTGGCTAAAAGCAGACCAGGATGGCCCAGACCCAGAAGAAAGGAGGAAACACGAGAAGCCTCTAAAGGGAAAGAAAGGGCCCCATATCCTGAATTCAGAGCTGGCGCAAAACGCGGACATCGCTTGTCATCCATCCCACCTCCCATTTACCTCATGCCAGGCCCGGGCACTGGAACAGCCACTGTTGTTTTACGGAGAGTTTCCCGATTGACAGATGAAGAGAGCGAGGCTCCGAGAGGTTAGGTGGCCCGCTCAAACTGCCACAGCTAGTAAATGGCACGGCCCCAGCAAAGACTGGGATTTCATCTCACGAAATACTACCTACTCTGTGCCAGGCCCAGAGCCTTCGTCTCTGCCCAGTGTCCTGGGGTAGTCATTTCACAGGAATGGTCTCTTGTGAGCAGGTCTGGCAGGTGCCACAGAAAGGGGACAGAGGTTGACCTGGAGCCCTTAGGTCCCCGGCCGGCCCCCTCCCCCCAATTCCCCCACATCGGGGAGAGCACTGACCCCTGCTGGTCCTGTGGGGGAATGGCACCCATTTCTCGTGGCTTTTCCCCAGGAGGTGAAGATTGACAAGAACTTGGAGCCTGGACTTCGAGTGACCGTGCAGCTGAACCAGAAGCAGCTCCCAGGTATCTGGAAAGTTCCCAGCCCGGCCAGCATTTGGGCTCAGGGCCGCCGCCTTCCACCTCCTTGTCCCTCGCCCCCTCTTCACAGCCTCTCTGCTTCGTCTCCAGAAAGCAAGACCTACCGGGGTAAAGTCGTGTCTTCGCAGGACCCTCGCACCAAAGCCGGTCTCTACTGGGGCTACACAGTCCGCCTGGCCTCCTGCCTCAGTAAGGACAGAGCTTCCTCCTTTGAGTATCTGGCCTCTCTCTGGGAGGCTACAGAGAGCCTTGCCTGACCCACAAGGCAGACCAGGGGCTTTGTCCTGCCACCTTACTGTGTGACCTTAGGCAAATGCCTTTCCTTTTCTGGGCCTCCATCTCCCTGAGTGCGCCTCCTGGAATACTGTGAAGGACTTCTGAGGGAAACGATCACGATCAATTAGTAATGTCTGCCGCGGGGCTGGGACTAGGACGGAAGGACCAGATAGGAGTTCTTAGAGCCCCTTCCTCCCCACCCTCTACTTGGTTTCCCCAATCTAATGCATGCGTGGGCTCCCCCTGCTCAGTCCCGGACTTCCCAGGAACAGTGGAGGGCCTGGGTGTGGCTCCCTTGCCGGAGTCCCCCTCCCCACCCCTCTGCCCTAGTGCGTACACACACACACACACACACACACAGCTGTGGCACGGAAGCGGGACTCCGGTGAACTCCCACCCCCCAGGTGCCGTGTTTGCTGAGGCTCCCTTCCAGGACGGGTATGACCTGACCATTGGGACATCGGAGAGAGGCTCAGATGTGGCCTCTGCCCAGCTGCCCAGCTTCAGGTGGGTACAGCCCGGGGCAGGGGCTGGGGAAGGAGGAATGGAGCCGGAAGCAGTCTGCCGGGGGTGGGGGGCAGAGCTACACGGCCTGGGCCCCCACCGCATAGCTGGAGGTGGGGGCTGAGCGCTCCGGGGAGCTGCATGCGGTGTGGCCTCAGGGAGCGGCCACTGACCCCCTCCCTCCCGGGGGTGCAGGCACGCTCTCGTGGTGTTTGGGGGCCTGCAGGGGCTGGAAGCTGGAGTGGACGCCGACCCCAACCTGGAGGTGGCCGAACCCAGCGTCCTCTTTGACCTGTATGTCAACACGTGCCCGAGCCAGGGCAGCCGCACGATCCGCACCGAGGTGAGCCCGCCCGCCGCCCCGCTCCCACCCCAGGCTGTTCTCCAGCCCTGCCACCCGCCAGGGGTGTGTCCAACGCGTGGCCCAGCCTGCCCGAGGCTGTGTCCAGCAGCCTGCCCTGGAGATGGTTTCCTCACTGCCTCAGCCTCTGACCACAGCAAATTCCAGCAGGGACAGCGTCTGAGTGAGCTGGGGGGTCGAGAGCCCTGGGTGCTGGTGCCCATCCAGCTGCTCCCAGGCTGGGTGACCCTGGCCACCCCTGCTCTGGGCCTGTTTCCCCAGCTGTGCGCTCCGTGCTGCACTTCCTCACGCGTGACTGTGGTGGGCAGGGCCGCCCTTCCCACTGGGCCTCACTGGCACCTCGGTCCTGTGGGGCACAGCACGGGACACAGTATGTGTGTCCTGGACATCCGGGGAGCTGGTGGACCCATGTGTGAGGTCACACAGGCAGCACACTGTAGGCACCTGGCTTCTGTTACTGTCACAGGGCGGGGAGTAGGCAGGTGGACTGCCCCGGGCTGTCCCCAGGGGTCCTGCAGGGGCCGGCAGCCTCCCAGCAGGAGGCCCCCCCCCCCACACCCACCCCGTCCTAGGGACTGAGAACTTGCTGCCTGTAGCCTCCCCTAATCCTGACCCTGAGAGGCGGGTATGATTCTGACCATCCACACTTAGAGGGAAACCCTGAGGAAGAGCGAGGCAGGGCCCGGCCCTGGCACGGCGTGCAGCCAGCCGCTGGCAGATGGGCAGGGTGAGGCTGAGCCTGGTCTGAACCGCTGAGGGCGGCAGACCCTGGCGGGTAGAGCACTGCCAGGCTGGGAGCCGGGCCCCCGCCAGCCTCCCAGGCCCCCAGCCAACGCGTTGCTTTACTTCTCCAGGAAGCCATCCTCATCTCCCTGGCCGCCCTGCAGCCTGGCCTCACCCAGGCAGGGACCCGGCCCAGCTGAGGGTCCCGTCCGGCCCACGACAGCGGAGCAGCAGCAGGAAAGCCAGAGGTTCCTGAGGTTCCGCCAGCACAGACACGGCCACGACTTGTCTCCAAAAATCACCACCTTTAATGTTAATGCAGCCCGGTTCCCAAAGTCTGGCAGGGTTGCGGCCTTCACTTGCTGCCCGCACTGATGGCCTTCAGGCTGCCTGCCCGGGCCAGAATGTTTGGCACGAAGAGCAGCCCCGAGGCCCGCTCGATGCTCTCGATGGGCACCAGGAAGCGCTCCAGCGGCACGGCCTCGTCCACAGGCGCGTTGGGCATCACGTAGGAGCGGAGCTCGATCTGCCCGCCTGCTGCCTCCAGGATCAGCACCTTGAAGAAGTGGGTGGGCACTGCCACGTGGTTCTTCCCGATGACCTGGTACTTCACGTAGGACTTCCCGTCAGCCTCCGTCCTGCGGGCAGACCCGGGCACACGTGGCCTTTCAGGGCACCTGGTCGGATCCAAGGCTGCTCCGGCAGGACCGCCACCTCAGCGCGAGGCTTCTGGGCCCTTCTAGGCTCCCCAGGAGGCTGGGGTCTCCCTGCAGGGCGAACACTCTCCTACCCTGTTTCCCTCACGCCCAGCCCTGGGGCAGGCAGGGTGGGTGATGGCAGTAAATGTTACCGAGAGAATCGGGCCTCGTGGACACTCGCCTTCCTTCCTGCAGACACATGCTTATGCTCCACCCTCCCCTGCAGGCAAGGTCAACGAATTCCCAGAGCCAGCTCAGGCACCGGTGTCCAGGACACTGGCTGGGTGACTTCCGGTCCTCCCCATTTCAGCAGGCCATAGGAGGCACTCGCTAATTATCTGTGCCTCGGCCAGTCCCTGCTGAGCGCTCATCGCAGTGACTCCCTCCCCCCCCCCCCCCCCCCCCCCCCCCCCCCCCCCCCCCCCGCCCTTGACTCCTAAGCAACCACGAGGTAGGCAGTGGCTGTTATCCCCATTTTACAGGAGAGGATATTGAGGTCATTTGCCCACGGCACTGCCCCGGGCCTGGATTCTATCTCGGGCCTGTGGCTTTTGCCACAACCTTTTGCCTCCCCCATCTCCGTCTTCAGTAAGTAGGCCAGAAAAATCACTGAGCATGCCCAGAGGCGCTCACTCCCTTCCACCTGGGAGGCAGGGCTGCAAAGGGACCGGAGTGGAGACTCAGGGTCAGGGCGATGGAGTTCACACCCTGGCTCCGGGGGAAGAGCGAGGAGGGCTGCTCCAAGCAGGGGAGACCGAAGGCAGGAGCCCGATGGAAGGCTTTCTATCTGGGCAGAGCGGAGTCCGGGGCACATGGCAAGAGGTGAGGTGGGAGAGAGGAGCAGAGGCAGATTTGGGGCCTGGTGCCGTGGGCAGAGGAGACGCGGCCTAGTGGGGCACCCCCACGGGTCTCTGGCTGTAGATGTGGAATTAGGGGGCCTGAAGCAGGGAGCGGCCAGGTGTGTCGAGAAACCAGATGACATGATGTGGCGCTGAGTGTGGACCCAGGGGCTGAGGCGAGGCTGGATGGTGTGAGTGGCAGGAGGGGGCCTCTAGTGGGCGGGAGGGCCTGGCGCCCCCAGCCCCCCCTTTCCCCCGCTCTAGCCTTACCTGGGCAGGAAGAGTGGTCCTGTGCACACGTAGACATTTTGGTAGGTGCAGGTCAAGCTGCGGCTGTACTTTTCCAGATTATTCCAGGCATTCTGGTTGAGGTGGGGCACCTAAGGTTGGAGACGTGGGGCTCAGAGACACGGGCTGGCGCAGTCCCCCACCGCCAGAGGGCAGGAACTGGCACCAGGCTGTGACAGTCCAACAGGGAGTGGGGTGGGAGAGCATGCCGAAGAAACCAAGGTTCAAGGAAGCAGAGACTCCTTTAGAGCACCTGGCCTGGCTGTGAGGGTGGAGCCAGACAGAGCTGGGGGTGGGGGGGGGGGTGCTAGCCTGTGCCCACCTGGAATGGGAGGGACTAGCATCCCAGGATCGGAACCCCCAGGGGCTCATGGGAAGGCTGGCCAGCTCTCCAGCCCTACGTGCTCCTTCCCCAGTTTGAACCACATGCAGAGCCCGGCTGGAAGTCCTGGATCTGCTCCTGACTCCAGCCCTGGAGCTCGCCAATGTTCTAAACGGGCGGGGAGCTGCGGCGCTAGGAGAGAAGTCAGATGGGAGGCTCAGACCCCTCGGGCTTCACCCAGAGCCGCAGGTCAAGTCTCCAGGCCCTGCTGGGAACAGGCCTAGAGGTAGGGCGCTCAGTGACTGCTCGCCGCTGACTGTGTAAATTATTTTCCTTAGACTCCTGTAAGGCTGGCAGGGTAGGGGCCATGGCTGAAAACCCACGTTCCCCCAGACAGACTGCCAGGGTCTCCTGCTGTGTGACAATGGACCAGTCACTCTGCCTCTCTCTGCCTCAATTTCCTCATTACAGAGAGGATGTGCTGAATGCTTGCCATGGACCAGGAAGCGAGCTCAATGCTCTTGTTTGCACTGTCCTGGGTTCTCGGCGCTGCTGCGAGAAAACCGAAGCTCAGGGAGGTGCCCACAGTCAGGCAGGGTCAGACCAGGTGCCGGGCGCCCCTGTGCTCGCTGCCTCCCGCCTGGGGCGCGCGGGGCGACCAACCAGGCGCCTGACGGGAGCGCGCCCCGGGCAGCTCCCCGGCTCCGCAGCGAGCGCGCCGAGGCTCCGGGGGGCGGGGAGCGCGGCCCGGGGCGCGGCGCTACCTGGGGCGCGACGTTGCTCAGGTAGAAGGTATCGTCCATGGCCTTCTGGCTCCAGCGGTGGTTGGCGGCGGCGGCGAGGTGGCCGCGGTCGAAGCCGCTGCCGCGGTAGTCGGCGTTGGTGGCGCGGTGGTACGCGTGCACCGAGTCGTCCTCGCGGAAGTCGCACGAGCGGCGGTCGCCGTCGCCGCGGAGCCGCTCGGGCCGCAGCTGCTCGACCACCCAGAGCGCGCCGCGGGTGCGCGGGTCGTAGCACAGCACGTACGACTCGCGGCTCTTGAGCTGCGCCAGCCCCGGCAGCCCGTACTTGGCCAGCTCGCCGGGGGCGCCGCCCGCCGGGGCCCCGGGCTTCGCGGGCACCGCGGGCAGCTCGGCCGCCGCCGCCACGGGCAGCACGGGCAGCCGGCCCAGGAGCCCCGGCGCCGCCCGCGCGTCCGCCCGCCGCCGCCGCCAGCCCTCGGCCGCCGCGCCCAGCCCCGCGCCCAGCGCCAGGGTCAGGCCGGCCCGCAGCGCCCGCATGGCGGGGAGCGCGGCCCGCGGCGGCCCGGACACCCCGCGACCTCCGGCGGCCGACCCGCGAGCCTCTTAAAGGGGCCGCGCCGGCGTGCGGGGCCCTCGGCGGAGCCGGGGGAGGGTAGGGGCGTGAGGGAGGGGTGCGATGCCCGTCGCTTCCACTCACAAACGCTTCGAGGAACCGGGGACCCCAACTGAGTGGGTCTGGACCGGCGCGCGGCGGACGTCCCAGCGTCCTTTCTTTGCCCTTTTAAGACTCGCACGCCTGGAGGGGGTGGCGGTACGTGTCACCTCTCCCCTGGCTCGTGACTGGCCGCCGCCGCCCGGCTCCGCCCCGCCCCGCCCCCTCACAGGACCGCAGCCGGGGACCCTCCTCCGCGTTGGCCATAGGAGTCCCACTTAAGGGTCAGGCTGCTTCCATCGCCAGGTGATTTAATCTTCAAGAGAGGAAGCTCCTAGTTGGCAGAACAAGGAAACAAGGCCAAGACCCCGGTCTGCCGGACACCAGAACCTACCCTCCCAACCGTTACAGCGAAAGTCAGGGGTTCTAGGACATTGGCAAGTGTCTTAACAGCCCCGGGACAGGACAAGGATGCAGGCGGCTGACGCCAAGTGCTGGTTGGAACAGAAACTGGTTACGATCCCAGAAGTCAGTCTGGCAGTATGCATAAACGCCTTAAAGAGGTTCAGACCTTTCAACCCACTCAGAGGACCGAGCTGGGGAAATGAATGGGGAATGCAAGGATTTTAACCACGAAACCTGCCCCACAGTATTACTCATAAGGGAGGCTGGGATAAGCAAAATATTCCAAGATAGGGGCTAGTTTCAGATACTTTTAGCATACCAGAATACTGTGTAGCCCCAAAAACATTTTAAAATCGTACAGCAACTTGCTTAGCACCTAACGGGAGACGGGACATAGGACATAAAACTATCTAGAAAATGACCACAACAATGTAGCAGAGACGAACGCGTTCCTAGTGATCTTCTCTAGATTGTGGGTATGACTTATCTCTTGGGGTTTTGTCAATCTCAAAAACAGCTTGCGGTGTAATCCACTGCGCAGCATCTACTTCCCTAGCGCCCCCCCCCACCCCCCACCCCCCGCCCTTCTCCGCAGCTGCAAACTTCTTGGTTGAGCTCCAAGACTTGAATGGATTCTTCCAACAAGAACTTCCTGGCCTTGTTCTCCGCGCACTCTCAAGAGCTTCCTGCTGCATCCCCGCTCGGACTTTCCCGGGAGGTCTCAAAGGTGTCAGCCCATCACAGCACCAATGCCCATTGCAAAGAACACATGATTTATTAAAGACAACTTGTCATCAACAGCATTGATTCAAAAAACAAAAGCAGACTCCCATTCTGACCCTGGAATGAGACCTGCAGAATTCTTATAGCCCAATCTGTAAGTGTCCCAAGTCCTAGGGACAGCTCCCCAGCCAGGAAGCCCCTGGCTCTCAGGGCACCTCCCTTGAGAGTCTGGGGCAGGGGAATCACCAAGGGCCTGTCCTTTCCTCGGGCGGTATGCCACTGGGGAGCGCAGTGTAATCTGGACATGGTCCCTGTGCTCTCGATCCTCATCCCAAGGTCAAGGAAAGAGCACTGGACCTAAGTCTGCCACTGAGGCAAATCGGATGCAGTGATTCAAGTAGTATGGCCCCAGGAGGGTAGGCAGGGAACAGGCAAGAGGGAATGCATAGGGTGTGTGGCCCAAGCCTCAGGCTGTGAAGGGCTCGAAGTTGGGACTGAACCACCAGCTGACGAGTTCTGGGAAGAGACTGAGCCGGGCTGGTGGGAAGCAGGGTCTCTGTACCATGCCGGACACCAGCCGCATTGTATCCCTTACACTCAGCTGCAGTACAGAGCTCAGAGGCGCCCCAGCCAGAACCTGCTGGAAAATCAGGAAGGTCCCAGAGGCAGGGGGAGAAGAGGCTGACTCTGACCCTGGGAGGTCAGGAAGACCTCCAGCTGCTTTTATACCTTCCCAGCCCCGTCCTTCATCCTCAAACCAAGCACTTGCCAGTCTGCAATAAATAACCAGGAGTCTGAATAAATACAGTAAAAAAATCTCCCAAGTACGGTGTGTTGGGAGAGGCGGCGGCAAAAAGGCAAGTGCATAAAGTCCCAGCAGCGTCCAAGGAACAGCCTGGTCTAGGAGCCACTGGGGGACAGCTCTTCCTGGGCCCCACAGCCGGGCCTGGGACAGCGGCGCAAAGTCCTGGCTGCCAGACTCGGGAAGGCTTTGGGGACAGAAGGGCCACTGCTGGCCAGTCTGAGGAGAAGCGGAGCCCCTTGCTGCATCGCCCAGCTTCCAGATCCAAACCACCTGCTCCCTGCAGGAGGGAGGGCGGGCTTTGGTCAGAACATGCTCACTCCTCCCACAGCCCCGCAGCAAGAGCAGCCAGCTGCCCCTGCCCCAAATCCTGGGAACAGCCCAAGCAGGTGACCAGGGGCAGGCCAGCACGTCCTTCGGCCGGGGGGAGCCTGGCTCTCCTGGCACCACGAGGACCCAGGGCCTTGAAGCTCAGCTACTCCTGGCCCGGGGAGACTGGGCCCCTGCCCTATGGGACTTGCTGCCCTGGGCTGGGACCTGGAAGCCTTGAGAATGACCGCTAGTTCTGAAGCCCTTGGATCCCAACCCCTGGTACACCATCACTTTCAGGTCCTTTTCCTCTGGGAGAGAAGAGCCTTTTGGGGGATTCTTGGGAAGACCCAGCTCTCCCTCTCCTCCTTCCTTTCCACCCCCGGGCGGAAAGGAGGGTAAGCGGCCCAAAGCTCTGTGGGCCATCATTTCTCAGCAGCTTCTGGTTTCCAAGATTTCTGTCGGGAGCCGATTCAGGACCCTGCAGTGAGGCACTGTGGACTCCCTCCCAGTCTGTGCGACCTGGGGGCCCAGGGCTGGGAACGTGGCCAGGATGCAAAGGCCGAGGTTGGCCCCCAGGGATTTCGCTGAGCCGGACTCCTCATTCTGTCTCTGGGGTTCATGGAGTGGAGGGGAGGGCGGGGAAGAGCTGGGGATAAGGCACCCCAAGAGAAAAGGACAGAGGAAGAACGACGAGAAAGAGGGGGGCAGACAGAGCGAGAGAGTCACACACTCCCTCTGTGAAAGAGGCAGAGGAAGGAGGGAGGGAGAAAAAGAGCCCTCGAGGGACCAAAGACACCCTCACTCCCCTCACATACACACAGACACACACCCCACACCCCACACAGGAGCAGCAGACACCTGGGAGATGAAGAGACACATACACGCCCACCTGTGACTACAGACAGAAGCACACTGGGGGGGCGGGGGGGGACAGAGGGTTTGACCTGGGCCTGGCAGCTTCTTAGCTCCTTCACAGTGTCACCTTCCCCACGGAGAAGCCTAAGCACCAACCCCCAGAAGAAGTGGTTTCTGGCTCAATTGCCAAGCACCTCCCGAGACTGGAGCCCAGAAGACCAGAGCCGGAGAGCAGGAAGGGGGCAGCAGCACAGAGGCAGGGACGGACCCTTGCCGGCGCCCGGTACCCCAACGTGCCCCAGCCCCAGGGAACCACCTCACAAGCTCCTACCTCGCTCAGCAGCCCGGGCCAAAGGTCTCCGGGATGAAGAGCAGGGAGGGGGCCAGGGCAGGGGTCAGGAAGGAAGGAGCAGGGCACAGTGTGGCCCCGGCGGGAGCGGCCGAGGAGGAGGGAGCCAGGTGAGGAGGCCTGGGGCGGGCCACTCCTGCAGCGTCCCCTCAGGCTGGCTGGAATCCCGCGGGCACAGGGGTCGGTGTCTTCTCTCCCAAACCTGGGCCTCCCACCAGGAGGCTACTTGGAGTCCTGGAGCTCCTTGGCTTTCTGCAGGATCTGGCAGACGTCCGTGATGGGGTAATCCTGGGCATGGGGAAGGTCAGCAACATGCCTCGTAAGTCCGCTCACCCTTCACCACCGCGGGCCCTTCCCACTGGGCCCTGTCGCCCAGCTGGGCTCTGGGCCTCGGGGACAGAGACCACAGGCTACCAGGCACCCGCATGCCACCCAAACCTTTGCTAACGCTACACCCGCCGCAGCACTAGCTTAACCGACCCAATCGGCACCAAGCAGTGTCACAGCCCCTTCCTTAGGCCACCCTCCCTCCTCCCTCTCCTGCCATCAAATCCCAGAGCGCCATTCGTCATGAGCCTGGTAATGGGCCGGACGTTGCTCATCCGTTAGCTCAACGGGTCACCTCATCAGTCTGGTGAGAAAGTGACCGTGACTGTCTCGTTTACACACCTGCTCAAATTACTGAAAAGCAACCCCAGGCCGGGTACTGGAGAAACTAAGGTCTGGAGAGGTTGTCGCTTGGCTTGGGTCACGTGACCAGCACAGCAGAACGAAGACATGAACCCAGAGCTATCTACTCCTGAGCCTGAGTCCTTGACCCCTACGCCCCAGCCTCCTCCCCCAGGTCTGAGCGTTTTTGCCAACAAGCACTACAATGTGCCAGGTGCCACTGTGTCCCGGGTAAGATTAACTTAGAATACTTGGACCGGAGATGCCAAATCATTCACTCAGGGCGACACCACTCGAGTGGCAGGACCAGAATTCAAAACCAGATCCCAAACCCGGATCTGCCTCAGGAGTCTGCCTCTTCTGCCCGGTTCCTGACCCCATCCCGTCCTGGAGGCTGGCGTGGGTGGGCGCATGTGTGGTATCTGCCCCATGGCCGGAGCCTGACTGGCCCCTCCGGACCCCATTACCTGCAGGAGCCGCATGTTTACAGTGAAGTCCCCTTCCAGCAACTGCTCCCGGATCAGTCTAAGGAAAACAAGTAGAGGGGCGCCTGGGTGGCTCAGTCGGTTAAGCGACCGACTCCTGACTTCAGCTCAGGGCGTAACCTCACAGTTGGCGAAATCGGGCCCTGAGTCGTGCTCTGCGCTCACAGCACGGAGCCTGCTTGGGACTCTCAGACCCTGGGCCACAGAGCGCCGGCCCAGCAGGCCCCCTTCCTGCCCGTTGCTCACCACCTGCAGCGGGACACTGGCCCGAGAGGTCCAGAGGCCCCTCCTCACGTGTGGCCGCTGCCCCTCTGCTCGCGGTCGTACTCACACGAGCATGGCACAGCACACCAGGAGGAGGAAGTCGAAGCGGCTGTCGTCAGCGAAGAGGGAGTCCCAGATACGGATGACGTCGGGCAGCAAGAACTCCTGGGACAGCAGCAGCGTCAGCCAGCGGAAGGCAAAGAACTGGGGCTTGATGTTCTGCTCTTGCTGGGGAGACAGAAGCGCAGGGTGCGGAGGTCAGCTGCCGTGCAGTGCCACACGGCCTGGCAGACTGGCCACATGTGTCAGCGCCAGGCACACCGTGGGGGTGGGAGGACGGCATGGGGGCCACTGGGAGAGCCTCGCTTGCCCGGAGGGGCAGCCGCTGCTGCGGCCAGCTGGTGCTGTCAGATCTTCGATTTTTTGAGAGGCCAGAAATCCATGCTTTTATATAAGCTCTCTAGATTTACAAGTGGCTTAGGTTCTTTTAAAACATGGTATGGAGGGATGCTGGGTGGCTCGGTCAGTGAAGCATCCGACTTCACTCAGGTCATGATCTCACAGTCCGTGGGTTCGAGCCCCGTGTCGGGCTCTGTGCTGACACCTCAGAGTCTGGAGCCTGCTTTGGGTTCTGTGTCTCTCTTTCTTTCTGTTCCTTCCCCCTCTCATGCTCTTTCTCTCTCTCAAAAATAATTTAGGGGCGCCTGGGTGGCTCAGTCGGTTAAGCATCCGACTTCGGCTCAGGTCATGATCTCACGGTTCACGGGTTCGAGCCCCACATTGGGCTCTGTGCTGACAGCTAGCTCAGAGCCTGGAGCCTGCTTCCGATTCTGTGTCTCCCTCTCTCTATGACCCTCCCCTGCTCACGCTGCCTCTCTCTCTCAGAAATAAATAAAACGTTAAAATTTAAAAAATAAATAAATAAATAAATTTTAAAAATTTTATAAATAAATAAATAAAACTTGGTATGGATTAAGACCTCAGATTTATGGACAGACGGACCACAATGGGGCATGTAGTGTCAGCCTGGCCTCGTGCTTAAAGTGTGAAATACAGGATTTCATTTTGTTACTCTCCAGATAATAGCCTGACAAGGCAGTTACTCTCCATAGGGACAAGCCTTCTGGTCAGCCAGTGAATATTACTAACTGGATAACTGTGTTACAAAATAGCAGAAACATAATTCTGAATCTGTTTAAAGGGATATGTTTATATGTATTTTCTCGTTCACAAAATTGTTTTTATATGGGATTTCTTTTCACAAAAAATAATTTGTTAAAAATGAAGTTCAGGGGCACCTGGGTGGCTCAGTCAGTTAAGCGTCCAACCTCAGCTTAGGTCATGATCTCAAGGTTTGTGGGTTTGAGTCCCACGTCAAGCTCATTGGAGCCTGCTTCGCATTCTGTGTCTCCCTCCCTCTCTGCCCCTCCCCCACTCCCTCTCTGTCTCTCTCAAAAATAAGTAAACATTAAAACAAATTTTCTTTTTAAATGAAGTTCAGGAGTGAGCCACCTGGGTGGCTCAGTGAGTTGAGCGTCCAACTTCGGCTCAGGTCATGATCTCATGGCTCGTGAGTTCAAGCCACAGATCTGCTTCGGATCCTCTGTCTCCCTCTCTCTCTGCCCTTTCCATCTCCGCTTGTGCTCTCTCTCTCTCTCTCTCAAAAATAAACATTTAAAAAATAAATAAAATAAAAATGAAGCTTGCACTTTTTACTCTCAGTGGACTGCTACCAAGCTAAAGTGATTCACCATATGGTAAACACGCTGCAGGGTGCCTGGCACACGATGGGCACCCTATCAACTTCCTCTTCGTGCCCAGCCTGCTAAGCTCCCAAGCCAACTGCTGCCACAGGCTTCCAGTTGCGCCCCAGCTTTCAGGCTGGCACTCCCAGGCGGGAGCAGGCCACTGTCCATTCCCGGACTCAGGCGAGAACTTGCCCGGGGCCTGGGAGGCCTGCTATCCGGGCCCCTTCACGTCCGTCCGCCTCGGCCCCGGGGTCCTCACCAGTTTCAGGTAGAGTTCCATGTCTTTGTCCTTCAAGGTGGAGTACACCTTCTCCATCTTGTAGGTGATGCCACATTGCGAGTCGTCCAGGCTCTTGATGAAGTTGTCCCGGATCTCAGCCATGAGGTTGGTGAAGCAGAAAAAGGTGTCTGCCTCGGCGTGCTCTGGTGACAGGGGTGGGGGCAGCGCAGCTGCAGGGCACCCGATGCCCTCCCGAGTCCCGCCCCGCCTCTCACATGCATGCCCTCTCCCCCCTTACCCCTGAGCTTCTCCGGGCCGCCCACCCTCCTCTACCCTTGACTCTACGCTTGACCAGGCTCCGCCCCCAGACTAAGGACACCGAGTCTTTCTTCTCACGTCTTCTGGCAACACTGTACGTGTCACTTAGCAACTGATTACACGCTCTTCCGATGACAGTTTCCCAATCATTATTTATTTAAATCCCTGTCAGCCATTCAGCTTCCTGTAAGTACATGGCACCTCCTTTACCAGAACTTCAGTTATAAACACGAAGAGATCGATAAACTTCGAACATTCTAGAAAGCCTGAACTGGAGAGGATCTCAGAGACGACCCAGGTCGCCCTCTCACATCTGACGCAGGGGAGATGAAGGCCCAGAGAAGGGAAGTGAGTCGTGCATCCTGATAAGGCCCATTAGCCAGGCTTTCCTGGGTCCCTCTTTCTAGGGGGGGCCCATGAGGGAGGTGGGCAGCCAGGAGCCCTTTTACCTTTCCACTCGCTGTTGGGGTCGGTGGCAAAGGTGTAGTAGAGCGGCCCCACGATCTCATTCATGCCCTGCACGTACGCGATGCCGGGGTTGAGCTTGGCGTAGATGAACAGAATGCGCTCCACCACCTCCCAGTGGGCCTCACAGCCATTGGGCAGCACCTCGTACTCATTCAGGGACGATGGCCCCGAGTTCTTGTGTGGGGAGCACATCTGGGGAAGAGGGGAGGGCCGGTGAGGTGGGCGGTGGTACAGATGGTGTGCCGCTCCCCCCGCTGGAAACGTTCACCACGCAGCCGAGACTCCCAGCTTGGGGTGGGGGGACACAGCACGGCAGAACCACGTAGAGAAACAGGCCGACAAACCCAGAATGCGGGATATTCCACAAGACGGCTGGACTGAAGTCTAATTTATGCTGATAAAAACCAGAACAGCGTTTACCTTGGCAGTGAGGGTTACTGACTGGGAAGGGGCGTGAAGGAACTTTCTGGAAGATGGAAATGGTCAGTGTCTTGAGTGGGCACATACGTAATTAAGGCCTACATGTAAGTAAAAGTTCATCTCGTTGCAACTTAAGATCTGTGCATTTTACTGCATGTAAGTTATTCTTTACTTTTTAAAAAACCTGTAGATATGTAAAAAAAAAACCAGATAACTGGCCAAGATCCTTCAAAAAGTCAAATGCTGGGAGGGTGGGGGGAGGCAGAAGTGGAGGCCTCTTCCAGATCAAGAGACTAAAGAAATGTAACATCCTGATACCACACGTAAAGCTTGACGGGTCCCGGTTGCGAAGTCAAATAACAAAAATATTCTGGGCACAACCGAGGACATCCGATCACAGACTGGACGTCAGGGGTTACTGTGGAATTATCGTTCATCTTCGTAGATGTGATGGTGACAAAGGAGGACATTCTCATTCCCAGGAGACGCCTGCAGGCTGATTTGGGGGTGAAGGGTCTGGGCGTGACCTTACTCTCTCCACATAGAACACACCCACAAACGTGGCAAAACACTCACAACTGCTGAACTTAGGTGGAAGGTATAGAGTTGGGAATTGTATTCGTCTTTCAAGTTTTGCTCACATTTCACAGTTTTCGTGAAGAAAAGGTCGGGAGATGAATAGAAGAGGGACCCCTGCTAAAGGTGGGTCCTCATGCGCCAGAGCAGGGGTCTCGGAGAGCGGGGCCGGCAGGAGCCCCGGGAGCGTGGCAAAGGGCCGGGTGCTGGGGGCGCCCGTGTGAGGAAGTGACAGGCAAACATAGGCAGGCCCAGGGTGCGCAGCCATCCTGGAAGCAGAGGATCCTGAAGACCATGTCCCTCCCCCATCAGACACACACGTGCAAACATATACACGTGTACATGTGTACTCACACACACACATCGCTAACATTTACTGACAGCTTGCTACGTGCAAAACCGTGCTCCACAAGCATTCCTCCAAGAAGCCCTCTGAACCATTGAGAATATCTGTTCAACACCATTTTGAAGATGAGGAAACTGAGGCTCAGAAATGTTAGGTCGCTCACCAAAGTCTCACATTACATGCCGGCAGTGGGACTTGAATCCAGACCGGCTGACCCTGGAGCCTTGTAGCCCAGGCCTCAGACAAGTGCCCTGCAGCCTTCCCAAAATCTTCAGGGCCTCGGCCTCAACTCAACCTCTTGGCGATTCAGAAGCCGGCATGGTGGAAATGATTATGCCCAGTTTACAGAAGAGAAGATCGAGGCCCAGGAAGGAGAACCTGGTATTACTCCCCCAAAGTCAAACACGCGTTCAACTTGAACTAAATTGGCCAACCGCAGCTCTAGGGATGAGGCTTCTGGTCGGGCTCTCTGCCACTGGGACCAGGTGGAGACCTAAACTGGGGAAGAGCTTGGCTCTCGGACTCCAGTTACTGCTGTGAAATGAGGGAAGACAGGTCCCCCTGCCTTGCCCTGTAGCCAGGACATCAGCAGCAAGTAAGAACGTCGCCTACATGGCCAGCCTAGCATTCTGCACCCCCCGGCACGTGTCACTCTGGCCCGGGCACAGGGGACCTGGAACCAGCTGTGAATGGCCCTTGTCGCTCTTGCGGCAGAAAACGGCTGCTGTCCTGGAGCCTCAGAGGCGACATCAGTCACGCACCTGCGGCAAGAGAGCTTCTGCTGTCACGAGTCTGCTGACAGTTACAGAGGATTTTTCTACTGTCAGCGGACAGTGAAAAGTTTTGAGGAAAAACTGGGAGTTCCACGTGCTAAACACAGGTGTAAATTAAGGAAGACGGTAACACGCGTAATTTGGCTACGAGCACCTTCTCAGAGTTACAGGAATCTGCTAGAAGACTGGGGTTCAAATGAGCGCTGTGAGTTGGCCAGTCCAAGTCCTATCAATTCCAGCTCCTAATCTCTCGGGCCCACCCACATTTCACGCCGGCCCCCAACCTCCCACCAGCCACGCCGGGACCTCCATTCCAACCCTCTGACAACACCCACGGGAATCCTTCACAAAAGCTGACCCGAAGCATGTCACCGCATTGCTCAGAATGCCGCGAGGGCTGTCCAGCCCTCAGGACAAAGTCCCGGGGCAGCCTCGCCACCGCGGGCCCTGCCAGCATCCTCGGGCAGCCCCGCCTCCCGCCGGGCCGGCCTCTATTCCCTGAACACACCACGCTCACCCCTGCCCGAGGCCTCCACGTCTGCCCTCCTCGCCACCTGGAATGCACGTCCCTCCTAATTCCTGGACTCTCAGCTGAAATGTCCCCACCTCAGGGAAGTCTTCCGGGACACCAAGGCCAGTCAGGTCCCCACTGCCACCGCTGCTCCCACACTTTCTCATCAGCACGTGATCACTTTTTCAAGAGCCGCCTCCCCTGCTGTTCCTTCAGCGCACGCTAGGACCCTCCCCCGGCACCCCAGACCCCCGGACTTGCAGAAAGAGCCCCAGAAGTGGAGCCCACAGGACCAGGGTCACTTTGGGGAGCTGTCGGGGAAGGTGGCCTGTGGCCAACGCCCCAAGGGAAGCAGGAAGGAAAAGGCTGTCACAGGGCAACCCTGGGGCCCCTGGGCTGGCTCTCACATTGGTGACTCCACTCCGGTTCCGGGCCACGGTCTGGGATTTCAGAGTCGTCTGTTCCACCCGTTTACGAAGGGTCTCAAACTCATTCTGGGGGTCCAGGATAAGGAGGCAGGGGTACTCGGTGGCTCTCTGGAAGAAAGATATGTCCGGGCACAACCTCCTGTCAAGAGAGAACAGGAGGCAGTACTGTTACTCAGGGTGAAGGCTGGGAGCATTTCGTCAGCACCCCGTTGTTGAGTGCGCCACGATTCCGAAAGGCATTTTTTGTGTTTTTAAAAAAATTAGTAACATTTGGGGCACCTGGGTGGCTCAGCTGCTTAAGCGTCTGACTTCAGTTCGGCTCAGGTCATGATCTCACCGTTAGTGAGTTCGAGCCCTGCATCAGGCTCTCTGCTTTCAGAGCAGAGCCCACTTCATATCCTCTGTCTCTCTCTCTCTCTTTCTCTCAAAAATAAAAAAAACAATAATAAATTTAAAAAAATTAGTAACATTTTTTGGGGAGGGGGAGACATAGAGGGCGAACAGAGGAGGGGTAGAGAGAGAGAGGGAGACAGAGAACCCAAAGCAGGCTCTACATTGTCAGCACAGAGCCCAATGCAGGGCTCGACCTCATGAACTTCGAGATCATGACTTGAGCCAAAATCAAGAGTCAAACACAACTGACTGAGCCACCCAGGCGCCCTTGTAACATTTTATTTTTAAAAATTTAGTGGTTTTTTTTTTAACATTTATTCATTTTTGAGAGAGAGAGAGAAACAGAGGGCAGGCAGGGGAGGGGCAAAGAGAGAAGGAGACACAGAAACTGAAACCGGCTCCAGGCTCCAAGCTGTCAGCACAGAGCCTGACGCAGGGCTCAAACCCACAAACCACGAGATCATGACCAGACCCAAAACCAAGAGTCAGACGTTTAACTGACTGCGCCACTCAGGCGCCCCTAATATATCCACATTCTTATTTGTACCTCCATATAGATACACACACATATAAAAGTTTTAAGTGTCTTTATGGCCTCATAATCCAACTCTTCCCTTTAACCACAGCCATCTTTCCATGTCAAAGAAGTTTATCTAAAAAAAAAAATTATCTAATATGTACAGGGTGCCAAGTGTAGTGTGGTTCAAAGTGGTTACATTGATAAATAAACTTAAAGAAAGTGGTTTTGTTGCACGTTGCACGACAGGACAGTAGAGACAGGGCAGCACACAGCTGACGAGGGGGACGTCCACGGCACAGGGAGAGGAAAACTCAAGGTGGGAGAGTCTCCAGAAGGTGATCACATGGGTTTGGTTTGGTTTCCAGTTTTACTGAGATGTAACTGACCTACATCGCTGTCGCTTCAACGGGGAAAGCTTCCCTCGTGTATGTGACTGCAGCACAGGCCCGCTTTCCAGACTTCTCACCCCAAGCGCACTGCAAACCTGCCCCCCAGAAACACTCCAACCGCTCCCAGTGTGAGACGGAACTGGTTTCTCTAGACTCGGGTTCAAGACATGGTTCTTGACGCAAAGACGCAAACGGTCCAGATGCCTTGTGCACTGAGGCTGCCCGAGCACCACCCCGAGAATGCAGGAGGCGAGCCCCCCTTCTGCATCCTGGCTGAGCCGCGCTGGGCTGGGTGTCCAATGGGAGCCATCCGAAGACGGGCCTGGACAAACAGAGCACGGACAGAGGAGCAGCGCCCAGGGGCGTGAGGGCCTGGAAACACAGCCGGCACCCGGGGAAGGCGGAACTGAAACCGGGCAAATAGGCTCCAGATGCCCAGCCCCAGCCACTCAGCCCCACAGCGGGAGCTCCCCGCCACAGCTCCCCACGCAGCCTCGAGGGAGATCCCACCCGCTGCCACACTCGCCGACCCCACAGCAGGCAGGAACGTGTCCCCACGTCCCTCCGCCAAGCGGAAAAGCACGCCCACGCACCCACTGAGGCTCACAAGTTTTCAAAAAAAACACTCATCTGATCCTGTCATTCCAATCCTCAAAACCTTTGCATGCCTGCCCCACGTCCTTGAGATCAAGTCCAAGGTCCAACCCCCGCCTCCCTCTAGTGTGTCTTCAACCACACTGGGGCCTTCACACTGCTCCTTGAACGTGCCTCTGTGGGCTTTCAGGGCCTTCCCGCAGGTAGCTCCCCCCACCACAGCCTTTCCCTCCCTCTTCCCCCAAGGCCTCTCACTCCCGAGACCTCAGCCGAGGCTTCCCCCAAAGCCTTAGAGCACCCCGACCTCTTCCCTCAGAGCACTGACCACAATGCTGACTACACGGCAGATCCGTCTCGCTGAAGGACTATCTAACCATCCTCCCCAGCAGGTTCTAAGCTCCTTAAGAAGAGGGACCGTGTCTGTCAATTCCGTGCGCAACCCTGAGCTCGGCACTGAGCCTGCCACACAGTAGGGCCTCAGTATCTGCTGCAGGAAGTATCCGATGAGCCCATAAATGCCTGGGGCATGACAAACTGAGGCAGGGAGAAAAGACAGTCAGGCACCAGCCCCATTCACAGGCCGATGCCCTGGGGCCTGGACCCACCTACCGGACCACCCTCCAGCAGCTCCTCAAACGCCCACCTGTGGGCATGGGCTGCAAAGGGAAAGGACAAGACTGGGAAACCCCCCAGAATCCCACGGGCCAGCTCCTGACGCCCAGCACCCTGCTTACCGGACATCTTTGTCGATTTGCAGCAGCACCTCGTTGTCCTTGAAATAGGTGTTCCACCGGCTGTCGGGGTTGGGGTTGAGTGGCTGTGGGGAGAAGATGAGCAGCTCTGTCCTGGGTCCAGCCAGGACCCCAGGGGGCAGGTTCTAGTCTGGGGTCCTGAGCAGAGGCCCCGCACCAACAATCCCACCAGAGGCCCAGCGGGGGCTCCGCGACAGCCTGTGAGCTACTGGGGAGCCTCCGACATCACCTTCCGCTCTGAGGACACCCCTGCTGGGCAGGGATTATCCTTTCTGTCTGGAATGCTGCAAATACTAGGTGCTCACTAAATGCTTGTTGAATGAATGCGTGTTGTAATATTAGGTGTCCTCGATTCTAATTCATCAGTATTCTGAATTGTCAATTCTAAACTTTGGAGGATGGGCCTGGGTCCATCCACGTCCACTTTCTACACATGGGGAGGAGCTCAGTATTTGAGGAGAGAATGAGGCTCCCTCCAGGCCACAGGACGATCGCTTATTCTCACTCTTGCCCTGCTCTCTCCTCAAGTATAAAATCACAGAACCTTCCCCAGGGAACAGAGGTGAAGGGAAAGGAGACACAGCACACACAGAGGACCTGGCTCAGTGCTACACACACACTCAGAGCCCAAGGTATGGCTTACATTCCTGACTGGGCCCAGCACCTGGGAAGGAGAAGGGAGAGACAATGGCCTTCAGGGGCTGAGTGGCCCAACACAGAAAGGAAGTCCTGGAAGGGCCAGAAGGCACTGAGACCGGCCACGCCTGTCCTCTGGGGTGGACAGAACTTGCCGGCTCCAAAGCTTACATCCCACCCTACTCTGTAGCCTCAGGGCCTGCTGCGACCCTTACTCACATGGTCCTCAAAGGTCACATCCTCCCTGGACACACCCATGTTGGCCTTGGCAATGCCAGGCTGGATAATCATTTCCCTCAGGAACTGAGAATATAGCTCCCTGCAGGAGAGAAGGGGAGAGAAGGATGGCCCCAAAGGTCTCGTCCAGGGAGCCTGGACCAGAGAAGCAGCAACAGGAGGCAAGACGGGCTCAGCACCTCCTGTTGTCTGATACGAAGGCCCTCCCATCATCCCCCTTTCTCATGGTCTCACCTCTGCTTGGCCAGGATGGAGGTCCATGAGGCTCTCTCCAAGGGGAGGTAGTTCAAGAGAATCTGCACAGAGGGAGAGGAGCAAAGCTCTATCGACTCCCGGGCTCAACCCCAGACAGCAGGTGGAGGTCGACAGGCCTCAAGGAAAACGTCAAATGAAGGCCAGAAGACCAGATGGACTGAAACCCACGAGTGCAGGTGTGGGCTGGGGGTAGCCTCCCCTCTCCTCCCCACTACCTCCTTCCTCCTTTATCCCAAACCCACCCTTTCTTCTGCTTGTTCTCACAAAGATCCTTGCAAACGATCGTGAAACCTGGTGCTGCTCAACAAGACATGGCGTTTCTGCTCCCACCTCAGCTAAGAGCTTTGGCCAAAGCATGGCTTTTTTCTGTCCCATTAAGCATCACTTCCACTGCCCTGTACGGACCAGGAAGTAGAAAGCTTCACTGCCACTACTACGTGTTCCAGCCCCAAGGGGATCCTGGAGGGGATGCCAAGAGGAAAGGAAACCCAGAACTTCCCAGAAAAGTCTCCTCAGACCAGCAAGGAAAAGGCGCAGAAGAAAGGAAAGGGGCCAGGGCGGGGGCAGGCCATGCGGGAGCCCAAGGACCATTGGCAGAGCAGACGCCCCACCCAGCCACACCCACCTTCCAGCAGAGGCACCGAAGTCCACCCTCACAGGGGATGCCTGTGGACACAGCAGGCAAGAGTCACACCCCAGGCCAGAGCCCCCGGAGTCCCCCAGCCCTCCACCTCAGAGTCAATGGGCAAGGAATGGAGTGCGCAAGAAGTACTTCTTCAAGAATCACCTCCTGTCCAAAATGCATGCTAATCCTGTGTATTTCTCTCCACGACCCCTGCCCCCACCCCAGAGCTCCCTCTGTATGGGATGTTCTCTTGAGGATAACGCCTTCTCATCCTTGGTATTTCTTCCTCAGAGCCGCGCTTGCCCACTACCACCACCATCTCTGCCCAATCGGAGCCAGATCTCTCGTTATAAATGATAATGGCTCTACGACTTCTCCTTCATAGCACCCATCCCAGTTGGGATTGTATAACATGGTTTGCATATTTATTTAACATCTGTAACACCAACAGCTGGGTGAACCCCAGAAAGAGATACCACAAATATTTGCGGAATATAAACTAGGCCATAAATGCTAAGTGCTTTGTGCCTTATGGACATTACTTCACTTAATGCTCATTATAACCCTAGTCAGTAGAGAAAATTAGCATTGTCATCCTCATGGTCCAGATAAAGAAACCTATACATAATGACAGGGCAATCAGGGACTCAAACACAGGTCTCTCTTAACTACAGCCCAAACTCAGCACAGAATGGCTCCCCTGAGGCCTGGTAGATTCTTCAGCTCAGGGCACATCCCATGACTCCGTAAGATCTTCAGGGTCTAAATATCACTCTTGAACAAAAAGCAAACGTCTCCTGCATACTGTCAGGAACCTCACTAAAGGAGCTGTTGCTACAGAATCCCTAATACCGTGAATGTGAACATGAATAGGAGCTAATGCCGGCCTCCCTCAGAATCTGCCTGGGGTCGAGAAAGGCAACTGTAACAACTCTTGCTGACAAAGTCACAAGGCAGAGCCATAACAAGAGTCTACACAGGACACCTTAGGATATTTTCAAAGATAAGCGAAAATCTCTGCGCTGGAAGGTTAACCATGCCAGGGAGGACAAAGTCAAACACTGCTGGGCTTTAGCTTCTTAAAGTCAGGGTCTCAAGGCCGGAATTTTACCGTTAACCAAAGTTCACCATTGCCTGAGTCAGCTGTAATTCCCCCAGCCTGGGAGAGAATCAGGAACCGCTCTGCAGCTAACCAAATTCTACAACACAGGAAGTTTGCTGAGGAGTAAGGAAGACCCTGCAGTGGCTCGAGTCTCTTGCCCACTCCAGGCTCCTGCACTGGATTCTCTCTAGTAACTCTCGGCCCACAGCAACCACCGCTTACGCGCCAGGAAGCGTCCTAAGGCCCATAGGCTTGCTCTAGGCGGTCAGGGCAGTCAGGGGTTGCTCAGAGTCCCCGAATCAGCAGGAGGCCCCAAGAGGTAGGCTGACCTACCCTAGAACTGACCAGATGTGGCCTTGGGCACCTTTCCCTCCATCCTAACCACAATGCTGCTCTAGGGAAACCCTGAACGCGGAAAGCTGCTGCTTACCACTAAAACTGAGCTCCCGAAGCTTTTCCAAGGCGATCGTGGGCTCCTTCAGGACCTCCTGGAAATCTGCGATCCTAGAAGGCGGGATGGGAAGGCAAATGAAGCACACCCAAACCCCAGAGTGACAGACTTAGGGATCACTTCTGGAGCCCAAAGCTCTCACAGCATCAGTCTTCAACCTGCTCCTTCCACCCCTTCAGGACATAAAGACAGCAAAGCTGAGTCCACGTCCTGGCCAAAGGCACCTTAGGGGAACTACAGATCACTTCTTCCCCCAAACCCAGAAACACAGAGATAGTCCTGCCTGGAGGTTCTCAAACGAACCCCATGAAATTAGACACATTTCTAACACTTAGTGAGCTGGCATTTATTGGGCACTTCCTGCCGGCCAGACCCAGCCCAGAGTGCCACTAGGAACCAGGAGTAATGTGATCCCGGGACAACGGGCCTGTGTAACCTGCACGCAGCTCTCCAGGCTCAAGAATATAACCACTGGAGGACCTCTGGGCTAGCCGGCAGGCAAGGACAAAAGGTTCAAAAGAACAAGTCCTGGAGGAAAACTGAAGACTTAGCAAAATTTGGCCAGTGCTGCGCTATTGCGCCTGAGGGAAGGAAGACGGGAGAACCCAGCTTCTCCAGCATTCCATGTAAGAACCGGGCAAGGGGAACAGGGCGCATTTGGAGGGGTCGGTACTGGGGCAGAGGATTAATAAGGGGGCACAAAAACGGGGGGGGGGATGGGGTGCTGGAGAACGGGGCATCGAGGAGGCCCTGGATGAGGAAGACACCAGGGGAAAGGGGAAAGCCGGGGTCTAAGATGAGAGACAGACACGGGGTGACACCGGGGAACAGAAGAGGTGCCTCCGCCCCGGGCCCCCTCAGGCCCACAGGCAAATGGTTGGAAAGTGGGCGTCCGAGACCCTCTACCCGGGGTTCCTGATTCCTAGCCGCACCTGCGCCCTCCCTCTGGGGGCGGCCTGGCCAGGAGTGGTCGGCCTGGGCCGGCCCCGGTGGCCCTTACCTGCTCTTGTGCAGACTCGACATGGTGTTGACTTCCGGATGCCCCCTCTGCCGTCGCCGCCGCCGCCGCCGCCGCCCCCTAGGGACGCGGGGCTCCCTGCAAAAGCCTCCGACCGGAAACGAAGCCGCGAGTGCGCGCGTTCCGTCTCGCCCCGCCCCGCCCCGCCCCGCCCGCTGGGCCCGACTCCGCCCAGCTCACGTGCCGCCCCTCCCCGCCACTGCGGAGGCGGGGCCCCGGGAGCGCGGCCCCGCCCCCGTCTCCACCCGGTCCGCGCGCAGGAGACTGCGGACGAACCAGTGACCGCCCGAACCCTGTGGCTACTCTTTGCACTTCCTTGGGCCTCTGTTTCTATCTATGCGGTATTCCTGTCACCCTGACCTCTTCCTTACCCATCCCTCCCCGGCCATAAACTGTTGCGTCATTGTTTCAAGAACGTGGACCTTCCCTGCTAAACTATACAGGCCTTCCGGCTGGTCTTTTCACTGCAGAGTCCTCGACGGCTATGACAGCAGTGCCCGCGCCAAGCACATGGCTCAGTGACTAGGCTTCAAAAACTATCGGATGGAAGAGCCGGACTACACTTCAGCGTTTCCTTGGATTTTGGAGTTAACGACCATGAAATTGACCCTATCAGAACAATAGAAAAAGAAAGCCAAGATTTCAGGATCCTTCTTAAAAGACAGTTGGCAGCCTTACAATGATTTTCTCTACATCCTTGTGTGCACATCTGCATAATTGTGTTTATTTTTTAATGTATCCACGGATGGGTGAAAGCTTTGTCACTGGACTGGAAAGCCTCAAAAGCCCCCTTCTGCTCTCAGGACTTGTCTGTTCCATGAAGCAGGCACACAGATATCTGTCCTTTTATTCATTGAGCCCATGATTTCTCCTCTCACTGTGTGCTACGTAGGGAGCTGTTTCTGTAGAATACTAAATTTACGTTCTTGTATGAAATACAAGAAGTAAATAAATGCTCTCTTAATGGCACAATAGAAAAGCAATATTTTTCCAAATAAAAAGAATATCACGCAGCCTTTTAAAATGTTGGTTAGGGGGCGCTTAGGTGGCTCAGTCGGTTAAGCATCTGACTTCGGCTCAGGTCACAGTCTCCTGGTTCGTGGGTTTGAGGCCCCACATCAGGCTCTGTGCTGACAGCCAGCTCAGAGCCTGGAGCCTGTTTCAGATTCTGTGTCTCCCTCTCTCTCTGACCCTTCCCTGCTCACGCTGTCTCTCTCTCTTTATTTAACATTTTTATTTAATGTTAAATAAAACATTAAAAATTTTTTTAAAAAATAAAATGTTGGTTAGGAAGACAGAAAAAATATAAATGATAATGTTAAGGAAAATACATTTGGCTATCATTTGAAAAAAATAAAGTTCTGTTTTGTTTTGTTTTCTTTTGTTTTTTTAACATCTTTTCACCTTGGAGAGGCAGACAGAGCTCGAGTCGGGGAGGGGTAGAGAGAGAATCCCAAGCAGGCTCCAGGCTCTGAGCTGTTAGCACAGAGCCAGAGCCTGACACAGGGCTTGAACCCTAACCGTGAGATCATGACCTGAGCTGAAGTCAGATGATTAACTGACTAAGCCACCCAGGTGCCTCTAAAGTTCTATTTCTATCTCATATATGACAGAAAAAGAAATTGTAGATTTTTAAAAATTTTGAAAAATGTTTATTTATTTTTGAGAGAGAGACAGAAAGTGAGCAGGGGATGAGTGGAGAGAGAGGGAGACACAGAATGGGAAGCAGGCTCCAGGCCCCGAGCTGTCAGCACAGAGCCCCACGCAGGGCTCAAACCCACAAACTGTGAGATCATGCCCTGAGCCAAAGTTGGACGCTTAACCAACAGAGCCACCCCGGCACCCCAAGAAATTGTAGATTAATTAAAGCTCTGCAACAGGAAAATCTATGGGACTAGAAGAAATATATTTTAAAAATGTTATGATCTTGGGGCGCCTGGGTGACTTAGTCGGTTAAGCGTCCGACTTTCGCTTAGGTCATGCTCTCGTGGTTCGTGGGTTCGAGCCCCGTGTCGGGCTCTGTGCTGACAGCCAGCTCGGGGCCTGGAGCCTATTTCAGAGTCTGTGTCTCCCTCTCTCTCTGACCCTCCCCTGCTCACGCTGTCTCTCTCTCTCTCTCCTAGAAATAAATTAAAATATTTAAAAAAATGTTATGATCTTGGAGAAGAAAGATACAAGGCCCAGAAGCCCTGAAAGATAAGATAGATACATAATTACTTAAAATTTAAAATCTCTATATGGCAAAGTAAATGACAAACATCAATAGGGGGAAATCATACGCACCCTCTGTGATAAAAGGTTAATCTTTCTAACATATACAGAGTTCTTAAAGCAACGAAGAAAAAAAAACACTACCCCCCCCCCTTGGAGAGGAAATAGGCATTCACTCATTGAGAAATTTCTTGAGTGCCTACGATGTGCCAGGTATTTTCTAGTATTTGGAATTTAGACGTTAACAAAACAGACAAAAAATCCCTGTCCTTGGGGCAGCTGAGTGGCTCAGTCAGTTAAGCATCCGACTCTTGATTTCAGCTCAGGTCACAATCTCACAATTCCTGAGTTTGAGCCCCGGAGTCAGTTTCTGTACTGACAGCTCAGAGTCGGCTTTGGGGATTCTCTCCCTCCCTCTCTCTCAAAATAAATAAACTTAAAAAATCTCTGCCCTTGAAACACTGACATTTTAATGAGGCAGACACTTAAAGAAGTAAATAAATAAGACAAATAAGTCGGATGGTGAACAATCCCTGAAAAGACAAATAAAACAGAAATGGGTAGTGGAGGGGTGTTGCAATTTTAAATAGTGGGGTCTGGAAAGCTGCTCTGAGGTGACATCCAAACAAACATCTATCTGTGGGGCGCCTGGGTGGCTCAGTCAGTTAAGTGTCCCGTTTTGGCTCAGGTCATGATCTCTTGGTCTATGAGTTCGAGCCCTGCGTGGGGCTCTGTGCTGACAGCTCAGATCCTGGAGCCTCCTTCGGATTCTGCATCTCCTTCTCTCTCTGTCCCTCCCCCACTCACACTCTGTCTCTCTCTCTCTCTCTCTCAAAAGCAAATAAACATTAAAAAAATAAAAATAAAAATAAGCAAACATCTGAAGGAAGTAAGACAGTAAAGGTCATAAGCAGGCACTTCAAAGAAGAAATAACAATGTTTCACCAAAGCCTGAAATGCCATTAACTTGGGCTTACCCTCAGGTGACTATGAATGTGAACAACCATATTGTCTCTTGAATGGGCAAAAGTAATCAGCATTGATTGCACCCACCATCACTAGGATGAGGAAAAATATACTCTGGTTTCTCTTCAGATCATATAAATCTTTCGCCTTTTACTAGGATGAGGAAAAATGGGCCTCTCTCAAACAGCTTTAAAGTTGAGTTAAACTGGTACAGCTTTTCCCCAGAGCACTTCTATAGATACTAATACAATTGTTTTTAAGTTTTTTGGTTTTTTTTTTTTTTACTTTTTATATTGAGATACTATAGGTTCACAGGAAGCTTTAGAGATAGTACAGAGAGATCCTTTGTAATCAGCCAATTTTCCCCCAGGTTTCATTTTTATTCAATTTTATCAGCTTAGAGGTATATTTGATCTAACATAAGCCGCCCATATTTGAAGTGCTCCCTTATGTAATGTAAGGTTTTATATATACATATATATATGAAATTGTGAAGCTACCACCACAATTAAAATAATAAGCATATCCTTCACCCTCAAAAGATTCTTCCCAACCTTTTGTTTCTTTTCTCTTCTTCCTCTTTTTGTACATCCTGCCCTCCCCCACCCCAGGCAACCACTGATTGACAGAAACTGACAGAAAGCAGTTTCTGTCACTCTAAATTAGGTTGCACTTTCTAGAATTGTATATAATAAGAAGCATATACTATGTACTCATTTTTATATGACTTCTGTCACTTGGCATAATTATTTTGAGATTCATGCATATTGTAGCATGGATCAGCACTTGATTCCTTTTTTTTAAGTGTTTATTTTTAAACATTTCTTTTTAAGTTAATTTATTTATTTTGAGAGAGAGAGAGTGAGCAGAGGAGGGGCAGAGAGGGAGAGAGAGAATCCCAAGCAGGTTACATGCTGTCAGCACAGAGCCTGATGAGGGACTTGAACTCATGAACCATGAGATCATAACCTAAGCTGAAATCAAGAATCGGACGCTTAACCAACTGAGCCACCCAGGCACCCTATCACTTGATTCCTTTTTATTGCTTTCTGGATTCCACTATATGAATACATCATAGTTTTTTTTAATCTTTTATTTATTATTTTTAAAATTTTTATAGTTTATTTTTGAGACAGAGAGACACAGAACATGAGCTGGGGAGGAGGCAAAGAGAGAGGGAGACAGAATCTGAAACAGGCTCCAGGTTCTGAGCTGCCAGCACAGAACCCAATGTGGGGCTCGAACCCACGAACCGCGAGATCATGACCTGAGCCGAAGTCGGACGCTTAACCGACTGAGCCACCCAGGTGCCCCCTTTTACTTATTTTTGAGAGAGAGAGCACGAGCAGGGGAGGGGCAGAGAGAAGGGGGCCATGCAGAGAGAGAAGGGAACAGAATATCTGAAGCAGGCTCTGCACTGGCAGAAGTGAGCCTGATGCGGGGCTTGAATTCACAAACCACGAGATCATGCCTGAGGCAAAGTCAGATGCTCAACCAACTGAGCCACCCAGGCACCCTGTGAATACACCATAATTTATCAGTTTCCTGTTGATGAGCATTTGATTTGTTTCAATTTTTTGCCATTACAACCAAAGCTGCTACGAACATTCATCACAAGTCTTTATAAGGACATATGCTTTCAAAATGAAATATTGGGGGAAAAAAATGAACTATTGGGACCTCATCAAGATAAAAAGATTCTGTGCAGCAAATGAAACAATCAACAAAACTCAAAGGCAACAGACAGAATGGGAGAAGATATTTGCAAATGACATATCGGATAAAGGGTTAGTTTTGAAAATTGGTAAAGAATTTACCAAACTCAACACCCGAAAAACAAATAATCCAGAGAAGAGATGGGCAGAAGACATGAATAGACACTTTTCCAAAGAAGAC